CCCGCGCCGGAATTTATTATCAACTTGTTTTGTATGAAGTAAGGTAAATGTGCGTTTAATTATACGCCCGGAACGCAACCGGATAGTACGGCAATTATTTCGAAACAAATTTCTTCGTGTATAGATAAATGTGTTCTAACTATACTTCTAATGTATTAAGATCTTAGAGATTTTAACAATTTCTTAACACCTTTATATAGGAAAGAGTAGGTTATTTTGGGTAGGTACTAATTTAGAGAATTGATATAATGGGATTCTCGGATATATTTCAGTTATTGAATGAATATTTCAATTTCCTGCAATCGCTTATACTCTCGAGAGTTTCGGGATTTATCGAATACGAATATACACAGCGAGACAGGAAGCTAATCGAAAAACTAAGCATACTCGTTTGTATGTAATATGTATAACAATCGTTAGTCGAAACTCGAAGAACCTCCATTGTCTTCGATAACGATGAATCCCGGAAAAATTGGAGAAACGACGTCGTACATAAAACAGAAATTTGCTGTGAATCAGTGTTTCTTGGGAGGCGATTGATATCTGACTGGAATATCAAAGTTCGTCGATAAAATGGGATTACCATTAGTATTCTTCGTATGTATATACGTTATAAAGAGGAAAGATGAAATCGATCGCATTGGCGGTTGTCGGAGCTTTCGAAGCTTTCGAAGCTTTCCGGACTTTCGCCAACTATCCTGTGCCATTTTCGGAAGAATAATCGCTTACGACTTTTAAATGCTCACTTAAAGTAAACTGAATTCGAAACTAAAGAATTTATTACGGTTGGTTGAAATTGAATTCACAATATTGGAGTGGTTTTCCATTTAGTTCGATATTATCTATACATTGAATCTTTTTGCATTGGTTACCGTTAGTTGTACTCAGTTGAATTGCAGAAATTCTAATTTTATTTTTACATAACTTGTTTCAAATCCCTTTAAGCTCTGGATTTTTTTATAAAATTCCGTGTTTATTGTATACCTCATTTCCACCTTTTCTTTTATCTCCTTTAATATTATCTTCGTCCTTCGTAATAAATTTAATACATACTAATAAGTTAAATTAAAGGAAATTCTTTTTTTTTGCTTTAGCTCGATATTTTCCCTTTTAATTAATCGCTCCATTATTGTAGGCAGGCACCTGAAAGTAAACAAAAAGATAAAACAAAATCCAATTAACGTAGAATAAACGAACACTTTCTTTTCGCAGAACATTATTATTTTGGAATGTTTTTCAATCCGAAATCCGATGGAAACTGAAACTCATATTTACGGAAAGAGATCTTTTGTTCCGTCCATCTTCTTCCGCCCGGATTTACTGAAAAATACGAATCACACAAAAACCCTAATCTAATCTTTAATGGACTTTGCCACGTATTGTTGTCACTTTGATCTCTGCATTGGACTTCACTAACAACAAGCATCATTAATCATTTATTGAATATAGAAGGAAAATATATTATCCACGTTTAGAACGTGGACAGGTTTATCGTACACTGGTCGTCATAATTAGTAACACGGCTCTTTTAGAAGTAACGATTCCATTAAAGTTGAGGTAATTTCACAAAATACAGTTATGCCCGATTTCACCAACATGTTGTTAGGTATTTCCTAACTAGGTAATTCCTAAGGTAGGAATTACTTAAATCGAATACTTACCTAAATCGAATTTCACCAACATTAGAAATCCCTTACTAAGAAATACCTAGGTAAAAAATTTGATTTCGACAATTTTTTGAATTTTATTGGTAGCATTGGCTAATTTTGATGTGTAAACCGAATAAGCGGAGATCGAAATTGAATATGTTGAGAGAAAAGAAGAGATGATGACGATCCGGGCCATCTTTAAATCTTTATGTTAGTTATTTTTAAATCTGCTGAAGCTGTAGTCTGTGCATTATTAGAAAAATAACCTTTTCGATTTGTAAAATATTTCTGCATCTTCTCCTCCAGGATAATGGATCTTTACATGCATGTGTACGGTCAATAGTTCCAAAAACTTCCTGTGTATCAAATTAAAAATCATCTCCAATTCATTCTAATATTTGTAATGCCGTATTTTTATATATCGAAAAAGGCGAAAAAAATCAGTTTCGTCCAGTTTCTAAAAACTCTCCTCCCATTTTAAATGTTCATCTAAAGAGTCTAAAGATAGTCAAGACTTAAGTTACATAAAATCACATGGAAAGTATGGTTAAGTATTTCCTAAATGTTTTAGGCAAGCCCAGTGAGCTGTCCTAACTTTAGGCATTTCCTATTACCTTTAGGTATTACTTAGTGCATGGTGAAACGCAAATTGTACTTAGGAATTCCTAAATCCGGTTTAGGTATTACCTAACTTTAGGAACTGGTTGGTGAAATCGGGCATTAGATCTGGCTCCCTGTGCGAACACTAATTGTTCATTTTGCATAGTAGTGAACAAATATCTTATAACATGCAAATATTTAAATCATCCCCGCATTATCCTTTTCGCATATCCTCGAAATTAAGCACACACATGTCGATCCATCGTCCGATTACCATAAAGAAACCATCCGGCGCGATCAATTTTCTTTTGTGCCGGTCCCGCCGTTACGCGGTTAACGCGATCAACAAGGTCCTTTAAAGAGGCGCTCCGGGATGAATCGCATTCGCGGCGTGGCCGAGGGAAAGTCGCTCTCCTTGCCAGTTTCGTAACGCACCGGAGCCAGCCACAAAGACGAGGCGATAGCGCGAACACGGCGAGCAGCCCGGCCGCCTTCCAGATCGATCGCACTTAAGGGTGCGGATAAAAGGGGACGGAAGGGAATTTTAGGGTCGTATCGGCCCCGGAGGACGGCGATTTGCGTTTCGCGCTTACACGGAAGACTCCGCTACCGGTGGTAAACGGTTAGACTCGGCGATGAATGGATGTCGCGAGTCCGGTTTAAATTACTCTGGGCTGGTGCAGTTGGGTAATTAATGCTGCGATGCATTTGATGCATTTCATGCATTCGACCAAAGTGCTTACGATTCGAGCACTCGACTGTAGTCGGGCTATTATTTGCGTTTATGAGAGCGGTCGTTTGGTTGAGAAATCTTGGAAGGTTAATGGGAAGGATGAGGTTTTATTGAATAGAGAGTTCCCAACTTTTGGATAATTAATGTATTGCTTATATAAAGTTGAAACTGATTGACTTGATAAAAGGTGATTTTTATCGGCTACAGTTTTTCTAAATGACTTCGATTTGCGGAAATTTCATCATCAGAGTCGAATTCACAAAAACGCGGTTTTCTTGTTTTTTTGCAATCTATTCAAAATTTTCTCCAAAGTCAAGCTCCTTTTAAGTAATTAGTGAGAATCTAGCACAAAAAATTAACACCAAATATGGAAATAAATCTATCACAACAATACTCAACCATAACAACAAAATTTGTTTTACTCTAATAAAGTCCGGCCCTGCGTTGGATTCCTTTATGTTCTGGGCCGATTCTTGCACGGCCCGCTTTACACCCGGGGCTCGACAACTACGCCATTTTTCGGGAATTTCTTTCCGGGCCTCCGATTGTGTTACTAGGTAATTGGGCCATTTAGCATTCGATACGTTGTTAAACGGATGTAGGTACCTCGCGATTAGAGATCTCTTGATCGCTCGCAAAAAAACTGTGTAAAAGAGATTCGTAAAATTCCGTTAGTCCCGGATTCCCTTTTTTTTATTCAGCGTTTCCGGGTTACGTGTGATTCCGGGAAGGTTTAACTAACTTTGAAGCTCTTTTTTATGTTTTTTATTTGAGCTGTTGATTTAGTATGAATGGGTGGATATAAAACAGACCTTGTTAAATTCTACAAAAGAGTAATTATCTTTTTTATAATGAAGTTCATTAAAAGGCAGATTCATTAATACAAACACATCTTAAAATAAATATTGAAACGGCGGATTTCTTTAAAAGGGTGTTAATTAATTGAGTGCCATACTCACACAGGATGTGAATATTTGGATGATTTTAAGAAAAAAAGTTTATATCAATTTGTGTCCTAAACCCCTTAGTTTTTGAGTTACAGAGTGTTACAGTTTTGAAAAAAAACTTTTCTATTATAATTTTCTTATTACCTCAGACATTTTTATGAAATTCTGTACACACTTTTTAAAAATTAAGGAGGATTTTTGAGGCAAAAGGTTCTTTTTTAACTAAATATGTTTGAAGATAAATATAGGTACGCCACTGTTTTCTCTAAAAACCAAAATTATTTTTTAAGTCCCCATTTATTTTGGAGCAAATTAGGTCCGAAGACTTACTTTTGTGTACGACGCACCATTTTCGCGTAAAAAAATAAAAACCAAAACAATTTTCCCAAGTTCATTGAGATGACTAGTTATGATATTTTGTTGAAATTTAACCAGGCATAGTAACACTTTTTTGGGATAAAAATTAATTTTCTACAATTACCAGTGACGTCCACGTCCATTCCATAAAATTATCTGGAGTAATAAGAAAATTATAATAGAAAAGTCTTTTTTTCTAAAACTGTAACACCTTGTAGCTCGAAAACTAAGAGGTTAACGAAATATATTGATATAAAGTTTTCATCTTAAAATCATCCAAATATTTACATCCTGAAGTATCGGCATTCAATTAATTACTACCCTATATAATAATAAATAAATTTTCATTGAATGTATACATAATCGAACAATTTCAGATATTTTAAACAATCATAAATACCACAATACCTACTTCAAATGAAGGCTGTGCTTCGAAAATTACAATAAATTCCAATTAAATACCTCCACCTGAACTGCGTTCATATACTCGTACTAGCGTAGTAATTTCGTGCCGAGTAAATACGAGCAAAGAGCCGGAGCTCTCTCAACATGTAAATAGAGCACTATACGTAGAGCAAAGAGCGGCGCGTTCTCTACACACAGGCTTTTCGATGTTATCGCGTGAGCTTCAGAAATTAGTGTTCGAGGTGTTTGGAAGACCGAAGAGTCACTGGGAAGAGGAAAAAGCGCCAAGTTACTGAACCATGTTGAACAATGTGGCAGGCGTTTTCAAGGTCAATCGAAATTCTGGTTGCCTTCTTCGAGTACTACTCTGCAAGGTAATGCTTTTTGTTGTGGTACAAAAATTCTCTTTGCAAATAAGTGCACCTAGTATATAGGTTAAACTAGTAGAATTGACATATTGCAAACACATTTGCAGGTATCCATATACCTATACTGTGTACTGGATACCTAAGGATGAATAGCTTGGGGTTATTACTCGAGATGTACCTTACAAGATAGGTAAAGCAACTGTTAAATAGGGACAAAGCTGCTCAATAAAGAGAATATCAAACTGGTAGATTGTTGAACAAATTGAATCCGTGAGTATTCAAAATCCATTTTTGTTTTGCCCAATTCTGTTTAACCTGCTCCAGGACACTGTGTAGTTATACCAAAACAAAAACAATTATTCAAATTTTTAACCATAGTGAATTTTAATTAAAAAATACACCCTATATTTCTCTAAAATAATTGTACAAACTGTGCGGTTTTGAAAAATATATTTCTATTTCAATTTTCAATTTTCTTATACAGATATTTTTGTGTTTTCTTCGACCATAAATTGAATAAAAACATAAACAGTCCCCACAAATTCACTAAATCTGGTAATATAATATTTGGGACTTTATAACGCCGAATTTATGGACTCTTCTCAGGCGAAATCTCATTTTTATGACGCACATTTAAATAAGTCCCAAAAATAAGTAGCTGCTCAAAAGGCTATCTAATTTCAGGAAAAAGAATCGCCCATTTTAAATTCCACTCTCACTTTTTACGAATCAAATGTTACTCACAAAACCCGACTTAATTATCTGAGTACATTTAATTCAATTCCGAAAAACGTTAATTAAATTTAGACAAATTTCCATCGACTTTTCTCTTGTCGCTAATTCCTCCGCAGCTCAAACAGCGAACACGTGAAAACCAGTTTATTCAGCTTTTATATGCAGGAGTTATTTTCATTTTCAGTCCGGAATAGTCCGGAAAGTTGTTTCATCAAAAAAGCGTAAAGTTGCGATTCAGTGAAAAAGTTGGAAATTTTATAATAATGGAAGCTGCTCGGCGAGAGATGATTTTCGCCAACACTTTGCAACACTTAATTCGAAATTGCGGCTTTTCATCTAACTTACGTAATGAATCGAAAAAAATTCATGTAAAACGTAGAGAGTTCGTTATTAAATGCATGCAAACTCGAGCGAACTAAACGAAATGGTAGATTTAATTTGACATTTAACAATAAGTCGGTCTTGTATTATCCAGAAAAAAATCATTAATATCTACATGGCAGAAAAATGTAGAACATCAGCACCCAATAATCATAGGCATTTTTTAAATACATATCCAAACATTACGCATTATCTTCCACAGCATATCAACCCTTAATTGTACTACTTATTCACATAGTTACATACACGAATGTTATCGTTATCAGTGTTATATATCTACATTTACTTCTCTCTCCTCATACGAAGCATTGTGCAACATTGCTAGGACTTTCTGCTCGCTATTATGAGATAAAATACCCGCAGATTAAACCTTTTCACATGTGTCCCATATACACCTACACTCGGTGAAGTTATTTTTGAAAAAAAGGCGAACCTTTATTGTCGCTTGATGAGCCCGGCAGCCGTCAAAGCAGGACGTAAAAACTGTAGATTTCACGTCAGTTTTCAAAGGACTGGAATTACATCAATCCTATACGATGGGAAAATGAAAAAAAAAACATCACACTAGTAGGATATTAAATATTCAGATGAGTTTCGAATTGAATGAAACTAGGGCATTGATATGTACCTAATAAGTTTTAGTTCCTCTTTAATTAAACGATTATTTTCGATGAGATAAATTCTATTAATTCACCAGGATTCAATTGTATTGACGAGTCTTATTTACTTAGTTAGCATATGCTAGATGTAATTGGTAACTAAAGAATTTAATAAAGTTCTACTGAAATATTTTATTCAGGAAAAGAACCGTTAGAAGTAAAATTTTCAAATTTTTTTCGCAAATGCAACCCGTAGTTAGATCGCTAGCAAATTAAAAAACTCCCAAAAATGCAATGATTAAACCCCGTTATGCAATCTTGGCTGGATAACGGAAGATGCGGAGGCCACTATGGCGTTGCATAAATTTAATGTAAAACTTAAATGCGCTTCCGCCTCGATATCACCCGGAAAATTCTTCTTGGATGAAAATTCGATCGCGAGCTGAGTTCTTTAGCAAACTAAATGGAACATATTGAACTTTATGAAGGCAGCCGTTCGAATGCAATTTGTTCATTTGCACTCTCTTTATCGAAATCGAATCGAAATTAATTTCGAAATTTTGGCGTGTAATTACTTCAGTCGCGATTTTCAATGAATGGGAAGATTTTAATTTGCTACAAAACACATTTGAAACGTAATATGTACCAATCCAAATTTAGTGCATTAATAAAATGGATTAAAGAAGAGGTTAATATAATTAAAATCAGGGATTAATTCATATTGTCATTTTTATTCATTTTCACACTTAGATAAAAAAAACTTCTTGTTCTTGTAAAAATGTTCTTAATTGTTGTGGACTATTCTAGTCGATTCTGGGCCGCACTGTAAATAATTTTGAATCAGTTCAAAATGATTCTGGCAAGTTATAAATGACTATATACAGTTCTAAACAGTTTGAACAGCTCTAACCATTTTGATCAGTTTTAAATGATTCTAAAACTGGTTCTCATTCAGTTATAATGGCTTCTCTTAAGATATTTGATAATAGCGTTTTCTGGCTCTTGTATTATTCCTACGTCTCTATCGTAATTTGGTATATTTTTCTCCACAACTCAATCAGCTCGTTCGATCCAATAATCATATCCATATTCGATTTAATAAAACTGAACGATACGCATACACAACGGAAAATCTCTCCCTACATACACAATAAATAAATAATACATTCCACCAGAACTTCGCATAGAATTCGCATTTTACATAATACAGATTACATTCTAGGCGCTTCATAAATACTTCATTTTAATCGAAATTCCGCACGTAAACTTCACATAATATCGAAGTCTTGCCGCAACGTCTGCTTATTATGTTCGTTATTTGATAGGGCTCCTCCGTCAGAAACTTTGATAAACTAGAACTTCTATTCCGCTGACTTCTATTTCGGGTTTTCGAATGAGTTAACATGTTCATTTTAGTACGTGCCCGCACAAGCTCTTTCTGCCATTGTCCGTGGGCTACAATATTTACATATACGGAACTGTGTAGTTTACATGCATCCATAACTAGGAGGAGCTGTATCTTTCAGAACTGTACTGAGCCTGTGATAGTAATTAGGTAACATCAAACTTTGGGTTATTTGCATGGATTGCAGTTTGCTAAAAGGGCCCCGATGTCGTTAGGTATATCTATCTATTCGAAAAGGTTCGAGCAAGCATCAATGTTACGGTAATTTTAATCAGTGTGGAGCGCTGAGAGTTGGGAGTAGGGAAATGAATAAATTAGTCAAATTTTATGGAGATTTGGACTTATTCGAACTTGTGGTGATTACGGAATTATAGGTGAAATTTTTATTGAATCGAAGATACAAATGTAAATGTGAAATTTTCACTTATAAAAAGTAAAAATTTATTTTACAAGTGAACAAATATAGGTGTCAAAAGTGTTTTTCTCTTCAAATTTCCTGTTACAATTTAATACAAATAACAGAGTTGTTTATTTGCTAATCCATTAGTAAATGAATGCCCCAATGGAATACTCACGTTCAACTGAAAGTGTTGGAAGGGAATGTTAAAAAAACGAAACGTGATTAATAATTCATTACGAAACTTTTCAAAAATATTAATACTCTTATTTGGGTGAGTATAGGTCATACTTATTAAATTTAAAACCAGCAATGTTTCAAAATGTAAATTATTCATGGAAATCATTTAAGCGCGATTACAAAACGTATAAATATCGATCCGAATTAAATTCCAACCTTATACATGCGTACATTATCTGCATGGTTTATAAAAATTTAAATTAAACTTACTTCAATTAAACATATTTTTAATATACAAATTTGAAATTTTTTTACTATCCACCTACAGATTGAATATTGTGAAGTATTTTTGTATAAAATGCCACCTCCAAATGGATTAAAGTACAATATAATATTACCTGCGTACGGTATTCAGAAAAATTACTTTATCGATTGCAGTGAAATGAACAACAAAACGCGTGACTAAAGGTAGCGTGATCCCGTTCACCTGTTCTATATTTACGCCCTATAACCTGTTGAAAATAATGCGCTGGATAATTACAAATTATACCAACAAGCAGGATTCCTATAACCGAATCACAGTAATTAAATAAAATGATGAAAATTAGTAGTACATAAGCGCAAAATGATCACTAAAAAAATTCAAAAATACAAGTAATATTAAAATTATCGACTTATTTGGTAATAATAAAATCCAGGTCCGGCTTTACGGAAATTGTATCCATTTCTAATCAATAACACCTGTAACTGGTGTGAGAGTTAAATTAATGCCTTTTCTCAATGAAACACCCAGAGTATAGGAAAAATATTCTATTTTATTATTTTTCTCAACTCCTTGAGTAGACTCAACAAGACTAAACTCTCTTATTCATTTGAAACTACCCTGTATATCTAATAAACTAAAATTACCCGGCCGAAGGTCGTAAAAGATTGAAGAGGCCGCAGATAATGAATAAATGATAAATTTGATAGGGTATTACGTGGAAAATCCCTGAACCTTCAAAATTTTTTATCATAATGGTCGTCGTATATTTTCTGTAAAATTTTATACGTACAAACCTCGAACCGTAAAATTACGTTTGCCTTTTACATTTCCTCGTACCCTCCACGTGAATAGTCGATTTACAAAAAGAAGCGCCTTAGCTTAACATTGTATTTTACCTGCTTGCATCAAGATAGTAACGTGCATTTTATGAAACATGGCGGACGGAATGAAAGCGAATATCGGAGACGGCATTTTACAATTTGTTTAAAATGTTATTTTGCGAAAAAGAAATTACGTCCTCTTTACCCTTATAGCGCACAAGAA